AAATACGCTCTTATCAACACGAATCGCTAGGAACTTAGAGAATAAAGCCCCTGTGCATTACACGATGCCTATGGAGGTGGAAAATAGTCCGGGAAAAACTGTTCTCTTAAGAGGCATATCATTGCCCACATTTAAATTGAGAGGAACAAAATTTAAAAGAATCGCAAGAATAGTCGATTCGGAAAAACTTATACCGTGTGATGGTATATTAGGAAAAGACTTCCTTATAGAGGAAAATATCACGATGGACCGAGAAAATAAAAGAATATTCTTAGGAAATGGGAAGGACGTCCATTTTTGTTCTTCTTGCCCCTATTTTAAAGGAAAATCGCCGCTAGAAAACACAAAAAGGGAAATAGATTTAAGATATTCCGAGACCAGCATTCTGAGGAGTGTTCGAGTGTCTCCCCGCAAACTCCATTCAAAGAACAAGCACTTAGGGACAATCAGAAAAACAAAAGCTAAGCGCAAGGCCACTAAAGACGAAATAAACCATAGGGCTAAGGATATTAAGTTAGGGCGTAACAAAAATAAGAAAAAGGAAATTTGTGATAATTCTAGTGCGAAAATCATTCAGGAGATTAAACACAAAAGGGAGGAAGAAAATAAGGCCGACCTAGCGCCTCATCAGGAGAATACAATCACGGTGAAAAAGGTAGGGAACGGAACCAACTGCAAAACAGAAATAAGCCGCTCTAGAGGTCAATTAATAAAGGATCTCTATAAATTAATATGTCTATTGATGTCGTTATTAAAAATTATCTCCGGCAAGAATATGAATACGGAAGATAAAATGACAGAAAATAAGGAAGTTGAATTGGAAGTAGAAGAAGCTTTTAAAAGCCGTATACCGATAGCCATTTTTGAAAGACATAAGAACTATCCGACGATGGACATAGAGAAAATCATGAGGTATAAACAAATGCGGAAAAACCCAAAACCGATAACAATAGGAAATAATTAAATCGGAAGTCACTTGTAAATCAGTATAGAAGGTTTGGATTATCGCTCACTTCATCAAATTACATCCTTTCGGGATATAAGATATTTGAGTAGCAGTTTAAATAGACTATAAGGAATTTACGAAAACTTGAACTCACCTCTCAAGCTAATAGTATATCCTTAATTTAAATCATCTATAAGGAATATAACGCATTTAGAAGGAAGTGGAACTATACAGAGCGAAAACGGAAGAATCTAAAGACTCGTTTCGCACATTTTTAAGTGAATACCTCCAAACACTCGAAAAATCGCATCCCTAGAGAATTAGAAAAATATTACTTCCCACATTAGTAGATCAAGTTCTTCCTAAAGAAATATCGAAAATGTTGGTTTTCTTAAAGTTGATTTAGAAATAATGTTAAATAGTACTAAGTGAGGTAATTTATTAATTAAAAGATAGAGTTATTTCGTGAATTATATAAGAGAAGGGAAATTAAAAGTCTCTTGCTGGATGTATAAACGTTTGAAGATAAGGGAGTTATCCCTAATAGAGGACAAGATTCCTTCGAGAACTTATTAAAAATGTATCGATATAAGTTAGCATTTGAAACTATTATGAGGAACAGAATTTGCGATGCAAGAATTTCATACACAAGTAATCGAATTAAGAGAAGCTATTGACGTTTTAGAGCAAGGAAAATTAAGCTCAGATTTTATCTAAAAGGAAGTGATGTTCCGTACGTTGCGAGAAATACAACCACAACTTCCGGAAGAGTATTCATTAATAGAACAAGTCAAAGCTGACACTCTCTTTAAATTTTACCAGTAGATTACTACAGTTGCTATCGCACTTCCAGGAAAATTAAGAATTTTTGCAAAAATGCCATTGAAAACTCCGAGTGGATATTTCGATGCTTACGAAATTTTGGGATTACCTACATATATTCCTGCATTGAAAGCTTATGCTTATTTTAAAACGGAATATCCTATTTTAGCATTGTCAATGGAATCGTCAATCATACATGTTGTTACGTCATCACGATTTGGCTGCTTGCCAAATATCACAGTTTGCTGTTTGTTCACCGGACGTTCCGATATTTCGAGCTCCGCATCATAGCTGCGAATTTTCGTTATACATCGGAAATGATCAGAAGGTAACCGAACTTTGTTCCAAAGAAATTGTAAATGATTTTTATCCAATTTTTAGAAGAATAGACAAGCAGGGAACATGGGTATTTTCTACACCTTCCACACTAGTATTAGCAGTTAAATGCTCTGCTAAACAGAATAATTTACATGCATTACCTTCTAACATAAGTAAATTGAATAATGCAGGAATCATAAGATTGCCAAATACATGTATAGGATACTTACCTGGAATTATCCTCACTTCAAATTTTCACATGAGATCAACTGTTCGCATAGGAAGCAGTCCAAAGTTTATTATACCACCGATCGAAACAATATTTTCCAAGATGGAATTAGAGGAATTGCAAGAGAATTTAAATACTACAGAAAATTCTGAGAAGAATAAGGAGAATCCTAAGAAACAAGAAGATGATGATATTAAGGTAGCAGAAAAATCATATGAGCAAATGAAGAAAGATTTGGATAGGTTATTGAAAGGAAGTGAAGATCTTCCAAATTCATACCCTCCAACCATTCCAATCACATATGTATGGATTATCCTTGGAAGTATAGGAATATTAATTTTATGTATCTGCACATATTACATACTCAAGCATCTTTGTTGGAAACGAAGATTTGAGAAGAGGATCAAGGAAATGTCACAACAGGATATCCCACTTCAAGAAATTCCTCAGAGAAATAATACAGAAGAAGAAGAACCGGAAATAGTCGAACCTGTTGCAAGCTCAACTGAACAAGCTCCAAGCTCAACTCAGACAAAGAAGCATTTTGTTCGAACATGTCGACTTTAGTTCGACCGTATCGACTTTAATTCAAATTTCCTTTTTGAGATGATAATTTCATTCTTGATTGAAAATTTTTGATTGTATAATGATCGATTTTAGCTACATATATCTTTAGTTTTGTAAGTAGCTTTCCTAATAATAACATAAAGCTTTTATTTAAAAGAATGTACACCCCACTCAAATTGATAAGCTGAAGTGATTAATTAGAATAGACATAATATTATATAGAATAGTCTAGAGGTAAGACTTAGTATAGTATTAAGAGAGAGAGAGAGACATTAATAGAGATATGTATTTGTTAACAAACTACCTTTAAAATGAAAATGCTTTGGTGGAAATGAACTCTGCACAAATGAATCTAAATGACCCTGGAGTCATGAAACACTTAATGAACTCAACCACCTGAACTTTTGTGGTTATGTTAAATGAAAGTTTAGAAAAAAGGTGTCTCAGTGAAGAAAGAGTACACATTTCAACATTTTGAACTACAAAGTGAACTTAGAACTTTCAGCAGGTGTTTTGAAACAAGAGGACATCACATGATCTTCTAATATACCTGAAATTTTTACCACTATAAAGAGTCAGCCAACAGAAGTGCTGCCATAGAGTCTCTCGGCAAAGGAGAGGTGCATTCGAAACAAGTGACGAACTATGTCCACTTTTACCGTCGATTCCAGACGAAGACACCTGTGTTCATTGTGTTTATTTTAATATTATTATTTTGATGAATTGTTTATTATATTAATCAATGTATTTTATTTTTGAATTAATTTAATTTCTATTGTATAGAGTTAAGATTTATTATTTGTGTAACGCCATTTTTTTAGAGAGAGAGAGAGCAATTCAACTTATGTATTGCAGTGAAAAATCACGCCTTCTTTAAAGGTAGTGTGATTTTTGAAGATAAGGGAGTAATGTGAGATCCGAAAGGCCCCTGGGTCTAAATAGTGAATTTATTAATATTTGTTAAAAATATTGTCATCAAATATTACTTTAGTTTTGTGAGAAAAATACTGTTTTGGACGTGGAAAAAAAACAAGATAACANTTGAAAAACTGTTATAAAACATAGAAAATAAATACAGAAATCTATTAGATTGCTGATGATAAAATAATTAAATTGACAGCAGAGGTGAATGAATGCATTTGTCTTGCACATGACAATGATCAGTGTCATATATATCATCTACCAATTTTTGACTGAAAAAAAAATCATTACATATATTTGACTTGGCACTGCAACTTCTGGCTATTCTCTAAAATTAAAAAGAAAGGACTATTTTGAGTTGCTATTTCAGAGATCAAATTTCTATAACAAAGTGTCTGAAAGTATTAATGAAAGATTATTTCTGTAGTTGCTTCTAAAAGTTATAGGACTGGTAAAGTATATGTGTAGCTAACTAAGAAAACTATTTGAAAGGAAAATAACTCAAATTTGTATTATACCTAATAATTTTTTTAAAAATGTATTTACCATATTTGTTTAATCAAATCTTTTGTAATTTGTATATATAAAAAAAATATGAAATTCTACAATATTAACAGATGAAACAAATTTAAAATACAAATAGCTACAAACAAGTTACAAGCAACTTTATTTTATTTGAGTTTAAGAAAAATTAGTAATAGTATTTTTTGAAAATATTTTATTTTTCTCAGAAATCGTGCATATGCAAATGTGATTAAAATAATATTTGCACAGACCAATAAATGCCATAAAATTTTGTATTTACAAAATAAAAAATTCTTTTTGCAGATGGAATAAAGACTAATTATGTTAAAAATATAACTGTCTAGTAAAATATTAATTATAATAATAAAAAAATTAAATTATATAAAACAAGGCACTAAGAAATTATTATTTTAAATCCAATGTTTTCAAATTAGTTTTGAAAAAATAAATGCTGCATCCTTAGTGACTATGAATCAAGAATGCTAATATACTGATAAGAATTTACATGTTGAAATATATCATTTAGTAAAGTCAAAATGAAGAATCTGAATATTCAAGATTTTAATAATACTCTTTGAGCATAAATTTTTAATTTTCAAATTTTGTTTCCAATAGTAAGCAAATTTAGAAATTACAATATATAAGGGATAAACAACATAATTTTCTACTTACTTTTCCCATAATGATGCAAACATCTCAATATACATAGTGGTATCACAGCAATCACCATAAGAATACTAAAAATAGTTTGACCCTATTAAAAAAAGATTTTTAAAAATTAATATATTTTGAATAATAGTAACTGTTTACACATACATCCTAATTATATATATATTAATATTTGAATCTTAATATATCAATCTTTTATTATTTGGATTGTTAACTTAAAGAAAAAGCGAAGAGAATCTATAGATAATAACAAGTTTTGAAATATTTTAAAATTTTATTTATCTCCTTTTTTTAAAATTATTGTAACTTGTTTAAAGACTCAATAGAGTAAATGAGCTACTGATGTTAGTAGTTTGAAATGAGAAAGAAATAGAACAAACAATCAAATCTTCATTGTCAGGGTGTAAAAATCATAAAATAGGGAACTTTTCCTAGACATTCACATCAAATATTTAGTATAATTATAACTAATTTATTCTCCCAATAAAAAAAGAATGATAAAATGTCAAATGTTACTTACATTTTTAAATCAAAAAGAGTATTCACAAGCTGCAAAACTACTGAATATAAACTATTTTCATTTTATCTAGTTAAAAGTTAACTGTTGTAATAAAGGTTTGTAATCTATAAACAAAAAAAGTTTGATATAATCCTGCCAGATATCACAAATTATATTTTCATACAGCAAAAAAAAAAAAAACATAAACATGTGAATGATTTATGTTGTAGTTTTTGAAAAAAATTAAATTTTGATAAAGTTGACCAAAAAATGTTTCATAATTTCAGCTTAGTCATTGCAAAAAACTAAAATTTTTTCATCAGAAATAGATAAAAGTTTAAAAATATTGATTCAAAATATTATTATTAGAGAAATTAATAAGATGTCAATGAGTCTTTGAAATGTAGTCAATGTGAAAATACAAAAACAATACTATTAAAGCAAAGCAATTTTCAACTTATTTATTATATATGAATTCTAAAGGAAATAAAATTGCTTTACTAAAATTTTGCATTAAAATGAAATTTAAGTTATTGTTAAAATTATACAACTTCCTTAGCAAATGTAAAAATAACTTAATAATATGAACAAAACCATTTCTAAATTGTTCTTTTAATCAAAATCTTTGCATAAATTTCTTAGATCCTAAACATAGTTCCATCATCAAATTTTGCACATTAATTTTGAAAACACCACATAAAAGCATGCACAATATTTTAGAGAAAAAGTAAATTTATAACTAAATTTGTGTTGATTATAAATTTTCACAAGTAAGTACATACACAATCAGTTATTTTAAAACTATTTAATCTAACTGCATTTTCAGAGTCTATATTATTTACTGTTCCAAAAAAGTAAATAATAAATATTTAATTTAATANAATCAGGTTTATGATGAAAAACTTCATACTTGCATACTTCGTACTCATTTGTATCACTGCACAATTTGCATAATCCGGCATAATGCAGTTATTGAAATTACTGGGCATGGTTAAAAATTAAGACAGCATAAGCACAATTATTCCAGATATTACAGGTTCTGACAAGTAAAGAATTTTCAGAGTCTTGTCACAAATAGGCTAAATATTAATTATTGACAATTTGTGACATCCCATAATAAGCGAAAATTTAAAAAAATTAACATGCAAACTTAAAATTATTAAATAAAAATGTATTCTGACAAGTTTATGGGTTAATAATTATACTTTCTATTTGCAAAATTTCCTCATCTTTAATACAAAATAAGAAAGAAGTGAATTTTTAAAACATTTGTGGGATTTCCTTTGGATCCCAGGATCCCATTGGAGAAACCCTACTAGTGGTCCTGATTGAAAGTCTCCATAGATACAAAGCCAAAAAATGGACATTTTCTGAGTTATCAAGCATTCAAGATGCAAAAACAGCATAATTCATGCATATGTTTTGAATGAGGGAGAAGCTGCTGCAAGAGTGTTGGGGCATTATGCTTCTCCCAATGTCAGCAAATTCTGCTGAATATTTGGCAAAGTGATGGAACAAAAATAAATATATTAATAATAGTTTTCAGAATTACAAGAAATACAGCAGTATAAAGAAAAGGGTATGAGGGAGGCATTGCAAAAAACTAAAATTTTTTCATCAGAAATAGATAAAAGTTTAAAAATATTGATTCAAAATATTATTATTAGAGAAATTAATAAGATGTCAATGAGTCTTTGAAATGTAGTCAATGTGAAAATACAAAAACAATACTATTAAAGCAAAGCAATTTTCAACTTATTTATTATATATGAATTCTAAAGGAAATAAAATTGCTTTACTAAAATTTTGCATTAAAATGAAATTTAAGTTATTGTTAAAATTATACAACTTCCTTAGCAAATGTAAAAATAACTTAATAATATGAACAAAACCATTTCTAAATTGTTCTTTTAATCAAAATCTTTGCATAAATTTCTTAGATCCTAAACATAGTTCCATCATCAAATTTTGCACATTAATTTTGAAAACACCACATAAAAGCATGCACAATATTTTAGAGAAAAAGTAAATTTATAACTAAATTTGTGTTGATTATAAATTTTCACAAGTAAGTACATACACAATCAGTTATTTTAAAACTATTTAATCTAACTGCATTTTCAGAGTCTATATTATTTACTGTTCCAAAAAAGTAAATAATAANAGTCAATGTGAAAATACAAAAACAATACTATTAAAGCAAAGCAATTTTCAACTTATTTATTATATATGAATTCTAAAGGAAATAAAATTGCTTTACTAAAATTTTGCATTAAAATGAAATTTAAGTTATTGTTAAAATTATACAACTTCCTTAGCAAATGTAAAAACAACTTAATAATATGAACAAAACCATTTCTAAATTGTTCTTTTAATCAAAATCTTTGCATAAATTTCTTAGATCCTAAACATAGTTCCATCATCAAATTTTGCACATTAATTTTGAAAACACCACATAAAAGCATGTACAATATTTTAGAGAAAAGGTAAATTTATAACTAAATTTGTGTTGATTATAAATTTTCACAAGTAAGTACATACACAATCAGTTATTTTAAAACTATTTAATCTAACTGCATTTTCAGAGTCTATATTATTTGCTGTTCCAAAAAAGTAAATAATAAATATTAATTTAATAAGGGAATTAGTTTTGCATTATGTAAATTGTTTATATCTTGTGTACAAATATAATAATGTTTAAGAATTTGATTCATAGCTAGAAAGACATTAATAATTTGATTTTACTCATTTAACTTGATTCATAGTAGGATAAAAAAAAAATCTTAAACATTACTTAACATAATAATGATTAAATGTTAAAATTAATCAATTAATAATTGATTTAGAATTAAAAGAAAATAATAAAGAACAATTAGAGGAATTTCATTTTTAAGGAACTTTACAAAAAACTCACTATTGAAATATGACCCATAAGAGCAAATCTGGCTCCAAGTGGAAATACAGGACGGGAACCATCTAAAGAAAATGATTGTTCTATGATTTTCTCTCGCCCTTTCTTATCCTGAAATTTTCAGTTTGAAAGCATGAAATCAAATATATGTAACACATTTATAACATAGTAATATCCACTTATTATAATCACTTTGATACTTGCTTCTAATAAATACAATAATCAACTGATAAAGAACCTGTACAAACCTTACAGAAAATGGATCTGGTCGAATTGTTGATATTTTTTAGCTCTAGTGATTAGGGTTTCTCCTTTCCCAGACTTTTGCTTGTCCCAGGATCTCTGGAAACAGTTTACTTTTTTCCCAGAATACCAGGAAATCCGAGGATATAATTATTTTTAAGATATAAAATAAATCTTAAAATTGAATGATATAATTATTTTTCATTTTTAAGTAACTTAATACA